CGGACGGTCGTTTGAGCACTTTGTGCACCATGTTTCTGTATTCAAAAAAGAGAAAAACACAAAGCCTTCACCACTATAATCACATCATGTGTTGGTGTCTGGGCTGTCAGTTCCTGGGAACTGAGCTGCTTGACCCTCATATGTCGAATACGCGGGTGAGAGTCCACCATATATATATATATATATATATATATATATATATATATATATATATATATATACTAGTAGAGCCCGGCGTTTCCGGGGATGTAACAGTAAGAGATAAATCAATTATCGACCATCATAAAGACTGAAAAATAAAATTGACAAAGATTATTGTTTAAGGTTGACGGACACGCATGTCTTAATTAGTTTTTTTTTTTACAATTTGGTCAAATCCAAACTCAAAAAAAACCCATTGTTTTCAATCGTTATGAGTCTCTACCGATTGAATAGAATTTTATTATAAACAATTGTCTTGTAAATGGAATTTTTAAAGCATTCTGAATGTAAAAATAAAGAAAAAAGTGTGCAAGACAATAAGAAACAGTGAAATCGGTTGAAAAATGTAGGAAATCCAAACCTTTTATAAAAACGAACACACACACACACACACGCACACACACACACACACACACACACACACAAACATCCTGGGTTTTATAATAAGTATAACTCGATATGAGTTGTCCCCCTTTCATTCTGGCGACAGCGATGCCTCTTAATCGTGTTTTCAAATTGATTTTGTGCAAAAACAATTGCGTTTTTCCAATTTTGGGCGCTGTCAGAACGACCGCAAGGTAATTTTACGTAGTCCTGTGAAGTTTTGTTGAAATCGGTTGAAAAATGTAGGAAATCCGATCCAATATATAAACGAACTGACACACACACACACAACCTGGGTTTTATAATAAGTATGTTATATATATTTACATATATATATATATATATATATATATATATATATATATATATGACAAAGTGGAAAAGTTTATTTATAACGTGTTTCGTCATTCAGGACGTTATGCGAGTATTTTTGTTCTGTTGGTATAACTACACATGCGCACGACAGAAGGGTGCTGGGAATTTTAGAATTTTTTTTTTAGCTACCCAAATTCATTTAGAGTCTTTTTCTTTTTCTTTCCATAACGTTTTAAGTGGATATTCCACACTGTGATATTAGATCTGCCAGGAAAGATGAAGTGTTGTTAGATCCCGAGCGCAAATTTACTGTAGATTACCTTGTGATTAAAGCACTTTTACGTCGTCAATTATGTTCTCCTTTGATCAGAGTAAGATTTTTTTTGTCAAATTTGTGGTCAGTCTCGTTTTCACATAAAAATATGCTATTATGATCAGAGGAGATCATTGGAAAGCGAGAAACCGGAAGGGATTTCTACAAACAAGAAGTGCAATAGAAGAAACAGCGTAGAACTTACGGTTGCATCTAGAGATTTCAACTGTAAAAGGATGAGACCTAGTTGCCAATCTAGTACTGAGCTTAAATTCGTAAAGTCGTGATACCAAAGAGGAAAGCAATATTTATTTTGAATAATATAAGAAATCTGGCACAAGGCCAAAAGGAGGGCGATATTTGAAGACTGATCTTCAATCTGGCTTATCTTAAACTTATCTAGCCACAATTACTGACCCAAACATACCATATTATTCTTTAAACCAAAATAACAAATTCTCATTTCTTACTACAGTCACCATAATACCTCGGGTCTCTATGTAGTTCTAACTCGTTCACACATGTAGAATTTCGCTGTGTGGGGTCGGAAATAAAATTAACACTTAACAAAAAAGTGGAAAGTTTATGAGAATAATTACGATGTAAATATTTATAGAAAAGGTACACGGAAGCTACGTTACACTGGTGAGAAATGGACTAAATGTCGAGATTTTTGAAATCGCGTTTTTCTGGAAAGGTGGTATTATTATTATTATGTGTGGTATCATCTTGTGATTAATTTTAAGTGCCTAATTACCAAGTCATCTCCGGGGTCTATAAGTAAAAAGGGCGCTATAGGGGGAGTAACTTATGCATATTGGGGACGACTCGTTTAGATGGAGAGAGTTTTGCGGATGATATGTGCAGTTCTACACAAAGTAATGAAATTAACATTATTTTGCGGCTTCTCTTTTCTCGTTAATATATATATATTTATATATATATATATTCTTTTTATATACAAATATTAAAGTAAATTTATAATAAACAGTACCTTTTAATGTCCGAGAAAATTTAACAAAATTTCGTTTTCTCGGACATTAAGGCAAATATTAAAACTGTAAAATGCTCTGTTTATAATAAACCCACTAAAGAACCCGGTGACTAGGATCAAAGTGTAACATGCGCTTTGTGACTGCCGAGCCGGGTGTCTGTCGAACTCTCTGCTTGCAGAGAACCCGGAACTGAAAATTGGGGTTTCGTTCGGGGACAGAAAATTGGTCGGGTTTAGATGGGTTTATTTTTGGCTGGGCCTACCTCGGACATACCCACATCAGCCACATTCAATTCCTGTGGGTGAATTGATAAATACCATCTATAAAAAGAATACCCGCTCGGCCCGGTGACTAGGATCAAAGTGTAGTATCTGCGCTTTTGTGAGCTGCCGGGTCGGGTGTTATCGAACTCTCCGCTTGCAGAAAACGGACGAAGCTCCGCCGAAGGTGGGGTTTCGTTCGGGAGGTTGACGGAACTAGCCCGCTTGGACGGGTTTAGATGGGTTTTTATTTTGGCTGGGCCCTACAGGCTCAGACATACCCACATTAAAAAAGGCCTTGTGCACATTCGATCCCTGGGTGGATTGATAAATACCATCTATAAAAAGAATACCCGCTCGGCCCGGTGGCTAGGATCAAAGTGTGAGTATCTGTGCTTTTGCGAGCTGCCGAGCCGGTGTTCTGTCGAACTCTCTGCTTGCAGAGGAACCCGGACGAAGGGTCTGCCGAAGGGTTCAACCAGTTTCGTTCAGGGGAGTTGACGGAACTAGCCCGCTTGGTCAGGGTTTAGATGGGTTTATTTTTGGCTGGGCCTACGGGCTCGGACATATATATAAAAGGCCTTGTGCCATATTCAATTCCTGTGGGTGAATTGATAAATACCATCTATAAAAAGAATACCCGCTCGGCCCGGTGGCTAGGATCAAAGTGTAGTATCTGTGCTTTGTGAGCTGCCAGCCGGGTGTCTGTCGAACTCTCTGCTTGCAGAACCCAGACGAAGCTCCGCCGAAGGGTGGGGTTTCGTTCGGGGAAGGTTGACGGAACTAGCCCCGCTTGGTCGGGTTTAGATGGGTTTTTTTTTTGGCTGGGCCTACGGGCTCGGACATGCCTATACAATTCCTGGGTTTTAAATACCATCTATAAAAAAATAATACCCGCTCGGCCCGGTGGCTAGGATCAAGTGTAGTCGATGTGCTTTGTGAGCTGCCGAGGCCGGTGTCTGTCGAACTCTCTGCTTGAATCTGCCGAAGGGTGGGTTTCGTTCAGGGAGGTTGACGGAACTAGCCCGCTTGGTGGCTGGGCCTACAGGCTCATACATACCCACATTAAAAAGCCTTGTGCCACATTCAATTCCTGTGGGTGAATTGATAAATACCATCTATAAAAAGTCGAACAGATCAAAGATTCTGTGCATTGGTTTTGCCGAGCCGGGTGAAAAACTCTCTGCTTGCAGAAAACCAACCAACCGAAGGGTGGGGTTTCTTCAGGGGAATAAGCATAATTTTGTATCGTTTTAGGCTGGGCCTCCACATCCCACATTAAAAAAGCTCTGCCGTAATCTATAAAAAGAATACCCGCTCGGCCCGGTGGCTAGGATCAAAGTGTTATCTGTGCTTTAACCGGGTTTCTCTCTGCTTGCATCCGCCGAAGGTTTTCGTTCGGGAGGTTTGGACAGATGGGTTTATTTTTGGCTTCCATAAAAAGGCCTTTGTGCCGTTCGATCCTTGGGTGGATTGATAAATCCATCCAAAAAAAGAATCCCGCCGTTCTTTTCATGTAGACATTCCTCAAATGCCGTGCCGGGTTTTCGACGCGCCGAAGGGTAGGGTTTCGTTCGTGCTTTAGATTTTATTTTTTGGCTGGGCCTATGATTTGCGTTTTTATCTATAAAAAAGAATACCCGCTCGTCGTCTAGGATCAAAGTGTTTCCCTCCCTGCTTACAAACAAGACACGGTAATTTTGGCTGATTTCGTGTCCACATTAAAAGGCCTTGTGCCATCTCGACGAAAGATATATATATATATAAATATATATATATATATATATATATATCTGTGCTTTGTGAGCTGCCGAGCCGGGTGTCTTTGAACTGACATCTCTGCCGAAGGGTAGGGTTTTTGACTTTTATTTTTGGTGGGAAACCCACATAAAAGCTTCATTTGTGATAAAAATAAATACCATCTATAAAAAAGAAAATTTTTGTGAGCCCCTCTGCTACAACAAAGCTCCGCCGAAGGGTGGGGTTTCGTTCGGGGAGGTTGAAACCAATCAAAAGGCCTTGTGCCACATTCAATTCCTGGTAGAGAAATACCAATAAAAAGAATAAGTTTATATATATATATATATATATATTGCTATGTCCCGAAAAGGGATATATTTGATCGAAGGAACCTGACGAGCTAAGGTGGTTTTGGATACCGTAACCAAACTAAGTACACGGGTTTTAGATGGGTTTATTTTGACTGGTACTCGTCGTAGTCGCTGCGCTTTGTGAAGCCGGGTAATAGGTGTAGACCTATAGAATAGCCAATGGCGTAGTCCAATGGGTGAATTGATAAATACCATCTATAAAAAGTCGTCATAGACTTAGACTCTGTCGTACCTCTGCTTGCCCGTCTGTATTTATTTCGTTCGGACACCAGCCAATCATATTCCAGTTTAGAGGGGGGGCCTCAAGCTCGTACATGGCATATTCCATTATATCAAATATATATATATATATATATATATATATATATATATATATATATTGAATAAAATATAGACATTAAATTAAATAGAGACGTCTGCTTCCGTGAAGTATTCGATTTTAACAAAATCCGTTCATACTCACGAATAACATTCAATGTATTGATATTAAAGGATGAGAGAAATGTGCTATAGCTGTTTAAATTTCTTTTATTTTCATTTCCCAATTACTTTCGATCTTCTTCCAAAATAATCTTCAGGGGTGCAAGTAGTAAAAAAACTATATGTTATTCGTTAGTATAAGTATTTATACAAAGTTGTTCGTTGTTATCCATTGCCGTAATTTTTTCATTATGTTTTTTAAATGCAAAAGGGATTATTAAAAAAGAAAAAAAAATCCCTTAATATAAAGGTAATTTACATTAACAAAAAAAATAAATAAATAAAAATAAAAGCCTTATATACAAGCGTATATATCTTTTAAAAAATTGGATTTTTAAATGTAACTATAACAACAAAAACATTTCGATTTCATTTTTGCCTTGAAAAAGTCGGAAGACGAAACGCGTTTCATTTCCCAAATCTAAGATTTTTTTCTTCCACGTGTCATTTGATGTCAGTCTGTCTTTTATACAAAGAATTTGTTATCCATTGGGAATTTAACTATATATATATATATATATATATATATATATATATATATATATATATATATTAACAAAAAAAACAGTATTTAGAAAATAGTATGGATTTTTAATAAATTGGAAAAAATTGTTTTTTTTGCTGGTGCATTTTATCCGTTAAAATCTAAGATTTTTTCATCAGTCTGAAACAAAATTCATCGAAAAAAAAAATAATATATACAACAAACAGTTTAGCTAAATAGTATTACAAAAAATATTCTTCCAAAAATATTATTTAAAAAAATATTCTTTCAAAAATTTTGAAACTACCAGCATCTCTCGTTTCGTGCGCATGTGTAAACGTGGCAACTTTAACAAAACCCAGTCCGATGAAATGCTAACAGATGAAACGCGTCACAAAATCTTTCTTTCCAATTTTTTTTTTTTTTCTAAATACAGAGTAATACAAAAGTAGGTACACAAATATATCTATAATAGAACCGACTGGGTTCTATAGCCATGAGTGGCAACTGGTCTACCACAAAAAATATGGTAACCTAATGCGGGAAAAAATATGACTCGTTAGTCATGTGTCGAAAAATACATGACCGCCTAACCGTGTAGCACATAACTGACTGAATGTGCGTATAATACTTACAGTATACCTACTTTTGCAGACTCTGTATAATAAACACACACACGCATGCACGCACACACGCACACACACACGCGCATATATATATATATATATATATATATGTTTAAACATTTGTGTATTTAGGCAGCAAATTCTCTTTTAGGCATGTCCGATTGAATAAATTACAAACATTATGTCTGCTAATTTTTAACAAAATCCGTTCATACTCACGAATAATCTTCCGTGTATTGGTGTTAAAGGATGAGAGAAATGTGCTATAGCTGTTTAAATTTCTTTTATTTTCATTTCCAAAATACTTCCGAACTTCTTCAAAGACCATAATTAAGAACAGAATGGCACTGAACAGAATCATCTATGAATAATGCAGTAATATTCTGAAATGCCTGTAAAAGAACATCTTTTTCGTGCTTTAATGCGCGCATGACCATGACATTATAGCACGAAAAAAAAGCCATAAAGGATAATTTTTTCACGTTCTAATGAACGCGCAGCACATTGTCAACCGTTCTGCATTTAAAAGCATAAGGAAAAATTATGGTAATGGATAACAACGCATAACTTTGTATAAATATTTGTACTAATGAACAACATAGCTTTGTACTACTTGCACCCCTGAAGATTATTTTGGAAGAAGTTCGGAAGTAATTGGGAAATGAAAATAAAAAAAAATAATTAAACAGCTATAGTACATTTCTCTCATCTTTTAATATCAATACACGGAAGATTTCTTTTTGAATTTGTAGGTCTGATGAATTGGATCGTAGTTACAATTCCAATGTAATAAATTATAACCATGGAATATTAGTGTTTAAGCCTTTTTATTATATATATATATATATATATATATATGTGTGTGTGTGTGTGTGTGTGTGTGTGTGTGTTTGTGTTTAAGTTGATAATAAAATGTAATTTTAAGTTATGTTATATTTATAGATTAAAATTCCTCAATATACGGGACAGAGCTTACGAAAATATAAGCAATGTGGACCCTGGGTTCAACAGCGGACAGCGACAGTCTGTTTCATGCTTGAACGCCATTTACAGGACATTTTCTCTCTCCTGAATATTGCGTTCAAGCATGAAATGGACGGTCGCCATTCGGTATTGAACTCTGTGTCCACACTGCATACATATTAAAAAGAAAGAATAATATTTTATTGCTTTCACCTTCAGTGGCTGCTCATCGATGTGCCTAATAATATTAAAAATCAGACCGCATTAAAAATTGGTATGAAATATACAAATGTAAATGGCATGCTTGGCATTGGCTGACATGAAAGTAAAAAGAGACACCAGTACTGACTCGTAAATAAGCCTAGCATGCGTCTCGTCTCGTGCGTGACGTAGCAGACCTAACAATCGATTCATATATATATATATATATATATATATATATATATATATATATATGGATTATATTTATTCCTGTAATGCTGCTTCATGTTCACTTGAGATGAAGAGTAGTATTTTACTTCACGAGCTTATCCAGGAATTGAACTCATGATCGTTAGAAGACCGTAATAGTTGATTAAATAACTACAATATCCCGCCTTTTGAATATGGTGATGTGAACTCTATGACATTGACTTCATTCAATGTGAACAAAATCTAATCATATATATATATATATATATATATATATATATAGTTGGATTGATGTGAGTTTGTGACCCTGGATTTCACGCTTGTGCGATCGTCAGACAAAACTGATTAATTTTTTTAAAAAAAAAATGGGTTTATGTAGATTGCGTGTATTGGTGTTATTATGGGAGTGGGGGGGAATCGTGGTCGTGATGTCATTGTGCTAACGCAAACATAGAGGCATGTCCGTACACCCGATGAGGTACGCAGACACATATACACACTTGCTTGTCCGTCGGGACTTATACATATATAAACATATGTGGACAGTTTCGGATTTGACATATGTATGTATATGAGCGCTGTTGTCTATATACATACGCATTTGTATGCTGAAATTCAAAGATTGGGAGTGTAACGAAAATTTCTCGTGAATGTCTCCATGTCAACAATCAGAGCATTTTTCTATTTTTCGCTGAATAATATTTCCTCGCATGTATGTATATACGTGTGGTGGGGTCTGTGTAAAATTATGACAGGTAAAAATTATTATTATTTTTTTTAATTCAAAAAATAGGTTTATTATATATATATATATATATATATATATATATATATATATATATATATATATATATAAATTAAAGTTTCATAAGGTCTTTTTTAGTTTTTTTTAGAAGCGTTCGTCTGTTCCTACAGACATCCTCAGGTATGAAAATAGATTTGTTCTTGTTTTTTGAATTTATAAACAGGGATCATATCATTCATATACAGGTTTGGGGTTAGTGTATCTTATTGAAATTGTTTGCGAAGATGTATTCTCGCCATTTAAATCATTAACCTCCATATTTGTTTTTTGTATGAATGATTCATGTAATTATAAATTAGACTGCACCTATAATCAATATATATATATATATATATATATATATATATATATATATATATATATATATGTGTGTGTGTTTTTGAACAGTACAAAAAACGTATTATGGCATTAAAGGCAAGAAATATTTTACTATAGGCCATGATAAATTTTTAAAAATTTAATTTTTCGTTTGGTGATACCATTCAGAAATACATACGGGTGTTCTATAGCGGATCACTTGATAAATAATCTGTAGGACTCCCATGTGCTATGGATTTTAGTGTGAGTTGATTCTCTGTTCTGGTCAGAGCACACGCGTTATTCCATCTTAAGGTGTTGGATACGCTGTTCATCAGGTCCAGGCGACCCGTTCTTTGTAAACAAAGAGACTGTTTGCTTGGGCTTGCGGTACTGTGTCTCTAGCATCTTTGGTGTTATAACTTTTATTATTATATTTTTTCCATGTCCATTCATTCACGTCATCCGCGACAGACTTTCTTCTCATAATCTGTTTCCCCGTTTACAGTTCTGACGAGTGGGGTCGAATTGTGTTTGTTTTAAAATTTATCATGGCCTATAGTAAAAAATTTCTTGCTTTTAATGCCATAATATATATATATATATTCTCAATACATATATATAAAATATATATATGTCTTGAGAATGTCTGATGACAGGACACCCAAGATCCTAATGTACAGCCAGTTAGATCAGGGCTACAGGAATGTAGGACGCCCAGGGCTAAGATAAAAAGACAAGCTGAAAAGCAACTTGTCAGCAGTCAATATACCACATAACACCCTTGAGCGCTTAGCCTTGGAGTGGGTAGAATGGAAATCAACGTGTTTTCAATCTGCTTGTCTGAGTCATCTTCAAGAAGCGAGAGCAAGATCTAAAAGGTCAGCCAATCTAACAGTGATCTCATCTCACAATCCTCACACTTGCTCCATATGTGGCCTCCTTTGTAAATCACTAGCGGGTTTTAAATGCAACTTAAGATTATCGCACAAACTTTCATAACTGAATCAATAAGATGGCAGATCCTCATACGTCGAAACCGACGGGAGAGTCCATTATTATATATATATATATATATATATATATATATATATATATATATAATATATGGGTTCTATAGTACTAATAACATGTAAATAATGCATCATTATGTAAATAATGCATAAATAACATGTAACATGTAACCGACAATTAAGAATTGAATTGCCAAAAATAGAAGAAAAAAAAGAGAATCAAATATGACTAATAATTATAATCTGTTTTTTGACACTAAAAACGATTTTCAATACTAACCCGTCACCCATTACACAACCCGTACACCCAAGCTTATAGCACCTGGTATTCCCAAAGGCTTGACATTGCTTAACTTCATGAAGTGAACAGGTCCGATGTTGCTTAACTTTTGCTAGTGTTATTACTGTCACGTGATATGTTCGTAAGCCTCTTTGTTTTTTGTTGTTTTTTGTTCTTTTTACCTTGGTATTTATATGTTAGCCTCTCTCCCTCTCTCTCTCTCTCTCTCTCTCTCTCTCTCTATCTATCTATCTATCTATCTGCCTCTCTTTTTCTCTGACTCTCTTTATCTCTCTTTCTGTTCCCCTCTCTATATCTGACTCTATTTTTCCGCCTCTCCGCTCTGGCGCTCTTTTTCTGCCTCTCTCTATATCTCTTTGTCAATCTGCCTCTGTCTTTTCCTCTCTGTTTCTTACTCCCCCTCTTCCTCTCTCTCTCTTCTCTCTCCTCTCTCTCTCTCTCTCTCTCTCTCTCTCTGTCTCTCTCTCTCTCTCTCTCTATCTGTCTCTCTCTCTCTTCCTGATATCGATGTTTTAAATAAAATCAAACCCATGATTTCGTCTGCAGTTTTAAAAGTTTTTAATATAAAATTTATATTTCCATAAACTTTTAGTATTAAATATGTTGATTCTTTTATTATTTTTATATCATTTTTTTTCCGTTTTGACTTTTTCTTTCTCTATCTATTTCTTTCTTTCTTTCTTTCTTTCTTTCTTTATTTCTTTCTTTCTTTTTTACTTTCTTTCTTTTTTACTTTATTCTTTTACATATGTTTTTTTTTTTTTCTTTCTCTTTTTCATCATTATTTAAAATCATTTTCACTTCGGTCATGTTAACCCAGACCAGCGTCTTTGTTTTTCGTAAGCAGTCTCTTTTTTCTCTCTTTCTCTTTCTCTCTGTCTGTCTGTCTGTCCATATATATATATATATATATATATATATATATATGCCTTTCCTTACACCTCATCACTCTCTCTCTCTCTCTCTCTCTCTTTCTATCTATCTTCCTTACTTTTCCTGTTTTAAGCCTTCTCCCATATCTTTTCACTTTTTCACTCACTCTCTTGCTCTAACTCTCTCTCTACATATATATATATATATATATATATATATATATATATATATATATATATATATATATATATATAACTATTGAAATAAATTTATAACCGATTATAAGATGCTTAATTTAGTTTTTTTCCCTGTATATAAATTTATACATCGAGCTCTCATCATGGAGTTATTTTAATATTTTTATATCAAAATCCTCATTAAAATAATCCTTACCACCGACGTATTGCGTACACACCACACACACACATATTTTATATATATATATATATATATATATATATATATATATATATATATATATATATTAGAACGGCTCATGATTCGACATAATTTACATTCATTCTGTTATATTTAACAATATATGTTTAAATAATATTCTGCTGCCCCAATACACTCCATTCCGGAAACTAATAGAAAAGTTACCTTTACGTTGGACTACATCAAAGGACAAGAAGTTGTGGAAAGCCATGATCGCTTACACTCAAAAGCAGCTTGGCAAATTAAAGAAGACTATTCTTGAATAATCAAACTTTAAACGTTGTTCTTCTACGTGTCGTGGACGAGGGCGATCATTTCTTTCTCCAACTTCTTAGCTCTAAGCAATGTCTGCCGATTTTAATGAAAAAAATGATATAACACTGTGACACAATTTTTAAAAAATCAACATTGATCTATCCGATTTATTCGAACGATTTATATATATATATTTGCTTTAGTAAGTGTTATTGTTATCTAGATGTTATAGGCATGAAGCTTCAACTAAGCATACACTAGTCATTATTGTAATCGATATCCGATACCTCATATCTGTCAATATCTTCAGGACGGTGGCGTAGTGAATACTAGCAGCATGGCCCGGCGTTGCCCGTGCTTGATTCAAAAATCGTACGACTCATGCAGCAATCGCTATCACTTGACTTAAAATATTGTTGCCCTTCCTTGCCTTTAAAGGAGTGACCTTTGCCGTGCTGATGTTGCTACATGCCTTACTCCTTGCCTATCTCTCACTGTGAATTTTTTCTAAGCTCTATACTAAACATAAAATCTGTTACGAAAAAAGAACTAAACAAAATCAACACAAAACGATCAGCTTTAAAAAAGACTCGTAACTGGAAAAACCGAATGAAAAAAGAATGTTAACAACAAATACTTTTTCACACTCAACCCAGTTCTGCGGAATCAGAATCAACGTTGAGTTTAAGCAAGCGAATGAGCCAATTGGAGTAAAGTGCCATGCAGATTTAAATTTTTCCCACTTGTGACGAATGCAGCTATCGATATTTTTTTGCATGCTAGCATGCTAGTTAACATTCGTGTCAGTCAGCTGTTGGCTCTCACGCTGGCCAATAGAATTTTCCTGCTTATTCGTGGCAGCCAGCTATTGCCTCTCACTGTGGCCAGTAGAAAATGGCCGCAAACTACATGAAAACTGCCGTAGAAGCATGAAAAAATCGATTATTTCCACTATCGATGGGAGTTGGGAAATGC